AAGTAATACATAAAAAAGAACGAGTACAAAAATTGCATGACCGAATTTCTCACATTCCACTTCATCATCACGATTACTACCGCAAACCACAGCCATATCCGGCCACGGGACGGACAAGTCACGTGACTGCGAGATAGTCCAACCATTCATTGCTCACGTGGTCGAAAACGGAAGAAGCATACAACAGTCAGCTGGGCGAGTGGTGGAGACGAGAGACAGAGAGAGAGAGAGAGAGAGAGAGAGAGAGGAGTGCACGGTGGTACTGGGCGGGGCGGTGGTGGTGATGTTTCGGGGGGTTGGTGTGGGACGTGGAAGTAGTGGCGGTGTGTGTTGTGGGGACACCAGCCAAGTTAGTCATCAGTTCTGAGAAAACTGACACCCAGCCTTTTTGTGGTACTGGACTGACGACACATTGAAAGGAGAGAGAGAGAGCAAGAGCGAGAGACATAGTTAAAGAAAGAGTGAGAAGACAAAAAAATGAACAGAGAGACAGAAAGAAAGAAAAAGAGAGACAGAGAGAAAGAGACAGAGAGAGGGTTTGCTACTGTTAATGTTGACTGTTTTCAACGGTGTTTAGCGACGTTTCTAAGTATGTACGCTCATACGTGCATGTGGGGAGTCTGTGTCCTGGTATGTTTGTGTGTGTGTGTGTGTGTGTGTGTGTTTGTGTCTCATTGCAATCATTGCAATTCATGTACACGTCGAGTCAAGTCATGTGCGTATGTATGTGCGCGGACCTACATGTCTGTATCTGGGTGCGCACCTTTTAAGCATCGGCGTCAAATTGTGTCTTAAAGTGCTTGTTTGTCGCATCGAGCGACAACTGCACTGGAGAAGCGAGTAGGGATCGAACTCCGCTACACGTACTAATAGTCCCTACGAAACAAGCTTGTTCAATCATCGCTCTTACGAGGGACTCCTTATGTGTTTTTTTTAAATGCGTCTATATGTGTATAAATCAGGTACGTCGCCAGTGTTTTGAGTTGGGGGGGGGACTTTAAGGGGGGGCGTTAAAGTAGTCACACACTAGAATTAGTTCACATCATTTTCACAGCAGGGGTATGATTTTCTGAAGAGGCAGACCCCACAAGCCCCCTTTTGGTGACAGACCTGGTATAACAGCAACGCTTAAAGAAACTACGTAGATATACTATTTTTACCGTACAACGCCTAAGGGCCACTCAAGGTAGAGGGTCACTGAATTAGATTGTTTTATGGATGTAAGCGGAAGAGGTAAGGAGTACATGTTATAAGGATGATTAGTATAGATAATGGTTCACTCTAGACTTGATTAGATTAAGCATATATTGATCGGGGAAGCACCCTCTCGGGAGTGTGTTCAATAAGAAGCTGTTCGAATATCACTTTCTTCTTATTGATGCAATACGTAGAGAATGAAATGAACCGCTCCTTGGTACACGGCGTTGCGGGTTTTAAATGTGAAGGCCTGAACTGGTGAACTAAGGCATGTAGCTCGTCCGAACATTTGCCATGGAAATAGAGATAGAGTAGCATCTGTGCGAAAGAGTTTGTAAGGTGGGAAATAATTCATCACCCACAAGGGCGCATAAACACTATTTCCCACGAAATCGTGGGTGTGATAGACAGATATATAATCCGTGTATCCAGGTAGATTATCTGAATTTGAATGTGTATCCCTTGTTCTCAAATTAGATATGGCCTCAGAGAAACCAAGGAGATTAATTTTGAAAACGCAACACTAATAAATTTTGAATTGAATTTTTCTAATTTAAAAAAAAAAATACCATTTTCTTTCAGGATGTAGAAGATAATGGCTCTCCATAACTACCCTTTCTTTGTTATCTGTGAATTGTAAAGCATTCTTGGGGAAGACAGTGGAGTGGGTTCCATTACTTTTTTCTCGATCTTGCATTCAAAGTTGTCCTTCTCTTAGAACAGTGATTCATATATATATATATATATATATATATATATATATATATATATATATATATATATATATATTCATAAAAAAAACAGAAAAGAACAACTCCGGAAATTTTTCTTTTCTGAACAACTCCGGAAATTTTTCTTTTCTGTTTTCTTTTTGAATTTGTAGGTCTGATGAATTGGATCGTATTTACGAATCCAATGGAATAAATTATGACCATGGAATATTAGTGTTTAAGCCTTTTTATTATATCCTTACTCTGTCCTGGACATTGAGTTCTACCTGGATTCTATCCTCTCTGAATTTTTTATTAAAAAAATATACATGTATGTATATGCACCTATGTATATATATCTATATCTATATATTTTGCATATGTATGTGTATATTTACCACTAATATTATCTCTCTCTCTCTCTATCTATCTATCTATCTATCTATCTATATATATATATATATATATATATATATATAAAGAAAAACAGACCACTTTAAGCCTCCATTGTAATAGATTACTTCACCAGAGACCTTTTAAAGGAAGCTGGATCATCAGACATCACTTCCAAAAGGTGAAACGAAAAATGAAATGAAAATTTACACGTTTGACGGGTAGTATTATGTTTATGTAGTTTAATAGAGAGGGTAGCGAGGAGTGGTGTGAGAGACATGGTCGAGTTTAGAGAGGGTTTATTTTAATATTTCTTTCTATCATATTTAGTTTTGAGGAAGGAGGGACCAGACATTGAACTATTTAATATATATATATATATATATATATATATATATATATATATATATATATATATATATAAGAGGATCCTAAGGAGTTAGACAAACCTGCCGGCTTTACCCTGAAGATCTGTTTAGGTGAAACCTTGGTAGGTTTGCCTGGCTCCATAGGATTATCTTAGGTTTTGCTCTACTTATTGTATTGAGCACTTTACGTAGTTGTCTTTTCACTCGTTTTAGGGGCTTTTAATTCTTTGGATTTGGAGCTTAAACACTGGACGATTGTTTTCGCCCTGTTTTAATGTTCTTGGTTCTTTCTTTTTTTATTCCCCATTTTTACTCGCGTATCCGATTTATTCTACTGCAAGTTGAGCTATCCGAGGTTTTTCCAAACGAATACCCCCATTTATATATATATATAGTTCATATATATATAGTTCAATATAGTTCATGCCACATAGACGGAAAATCTACTAGTAAAAAGAATTCTCTTTTGTACAAAAACGCACACACTTAAAATTTAAATTCAAACTCAGCGTTGCGACCGCACGTTCCAAAACAATAACACATTTCTCATAGCATTTTTCGGATTTCATCTCTATTTTCGTTGTCCTCTTATTACCGAGAAGTAAAAAACAAGAACAAATCTATTTCCATACCTGAGGATGTCTGTAGGAACAGACGAAAGCTTGTAAAAATTAAAAGACCTTATGCAACTGGAATTTATGAACAGGGATCATATCATTCATATACAGGTTTGGGGTTGATGTATTTATATTGTTTGCGAAGATGTATTCTCGCCATTTAAATCATTAACCTCTATATTTGTTTTTTGTGTGAATGATTCATGAATTTATATATATATATATATATATATATATGTGTATGTATGTATGTGTGTGTGTGTGTGTGTGTGTGTGTGTGGAAGTAATAATGGTACAGCGCTAATATTTGAATAAATGAATAAATATTAAACTTTTTTTTCAAATAATTCTCTTCACTATTCACCGATTATTTTATTTTAAATACTTTGTTTTAATATTCATTTTTAAAAAGTACTTTTATTTTTTTAATTCAATTTTTAAAAATGTTCCTTTATTTGAATAAGTGATTAATAAATTTTTTTCCATATAACTGCATTCAACATTCTTTGTTTAATTCAAAATTTATGGTTTTATATCATAACATTTAAATCTATACACTTTAACACTTTTGTCAAGTGTTTGTGATATTTTCATTTGCTCCTCGGTGTGCCGTAGTTTAAAAAAGATTGAGAAACAGTCTTGTAGTGAGTACTATTCTACTAAAGATTAGAAAACCCTGTCTATCCTGCAAGGAAATGTATTGAAGGCAGCATTTCAGTTTCAGCAGTTTTAAAGTTCTAAAATGTCGTCTCCCTTCAAAAGATAAATGCGCAGATTGCCTTTGTTTATTATTAGTGAACTGCGGTGTAACACCTATTTTGACCCCCACTGGATCGATGTACAAAATATGTAACAAAATATGACACGTATTATATCCAAGATGGAGGTCGTCAAGGTCAGAAAGACAGACTATCTAGGTGAAGGGAAATCCTGATTTTAAATCCCAGTTCCTTCGCGGTCATATCCAAACAAGGGAAAGGTTATGGAAGTAGACAAAAAAAACTGTAACGTCCTGTATTACTTTGGGCCTTGTAGGGCTATGTAGTCTGGACAGCCTCCGTATACCACCGTCTCGGCTTACGGCCTGGATAGGCCATTCCACCACCAAAGGACTGGATTTTCACCAAACAGGGTGCTACCTTTATCTCGAGTGATAAACAGATGCTTAGTACTAACAGATTCTCTTGTCGATATTTATTTATTTGCTTATTTAGTCTTAATATATTTCATATTGCGTATTGGAGTGGAGTCCCGAAGGTGGTTGGCTGTCAACTCCTGTCGTACAGGCAAACCGTCTCCAAATGTATTGCCCTGTATTCATTTGGATATTGCCGGTACGACAAACAGGGTGAGCATGTAGTCTTGGCAGCGCATAGCCTCCATATATTATCTCCCAGGCCTGCGCATGGGATAGGTCACTCTGGTCTCAAACGGGATGCTGCCTTTATTTCGCGAGATAAACGGATGCCAACTATACCCAAGGCAGTCGTTACAGAAGATGCCTCTTTAAACAAGAAAGCATACAAGTTAGAGATGTTTGTCGATAAAATATAATAGGATACAGCAGAGGGATGTAGATACATGCGTTCCCCAAAGTCCTTGCAATTAACTAATAAGAAAGGCCTCATCTGGGACAGAGTGCAAGGATGCAGATTACGCAAAACTCTTGGGTTAATTGACAAGAAAGGACTCAAATGAGGGGCAGGCTTGTAACTATAGAACATTGAAACACCGGTTCTCGTACGATCACCGAAATTAAGCAACGCCAAAACTGGTCAGTACCTAGGTGGGTGACCACTTGGGAATACCGAGTGTTGTAAGGTTGGATGCGCGGGTGGTGTAATGGACAACGGTTCGAATTTGGAAATCAGAGAGCCGTGTTTCAACTCTAGTCCGGTTCGTCATATTCATTTACACGCAAATATCCTTGGGAAAAGTATGAATCTACTTCTCCCCAGTTATGGGTTAAGTAGTAGAACTAGTATCAGCAAATCCTTATCATCTAAAAAAAAAAAAAATCTTACAATTTAAAAATATTTATGAAAAATAAATTTCTGGTTAGTTTAGATATTTAATTTTCATATAACATTTGAAAAATGTTTAACTTCTCTAACCAGATCAAATCAAAAATAAGCAGAGATATGGTTCTACAGAAGGATGCTGAGAATAACATGGATGGAGCAGGTGACCAATGAGGAAGTTTTCAGGAAAACAGAAACAAAAAGATACAGTTTGAAATTTCTACGACACATAATGAGGGAATGGAGCTTGGAGAATATGACACCCACAGGACATATTGAAGGGTAGATGGAAACAGCAATTAACCTACCTCGCAAGCTTGTGTAAATGGATGCCACAACAGCGTGTGGAAGAGATAGTAAAGGGACAAACATTGCTAAGTGCTCCGGAGAATAGGAAATTGTGGAGAGCCATAACTGTTTATATTCTGAAAGGGCACGACATATAAAAGAATAACAGAATTGTTTAATGATGTCATTGTTGGATGTATGTACTACTCACAGGTCAAAGGCCAAGCCTAGAGGACAAAAGTGTTAATCTATTTGTTTATATAAAAATTGTGAGTTCAATCCCTGGGCTTGGTAGTATAGAGATATTTGGACTCATTGGAAACAGGGCTAGTAATAACTAAATGATTAAGGAAGATGAGATACCTCAGGGTATGTACAGTAGAATGCGAACAATCCCTGTTGTTTTGTTTCTATATAATAATTGGGTTATATCATGATACCTATTCTATTGTAATAGACTCTCCCACAGATAATAAGTAGTAGTAGTAGTAGCAGTGGCCAGTTGGGCTCAGTGGTGTTGAGCGAGTCAGTCGATGTCGGACATTGGAGTATCAACCATCACAACTAGATTGCTGCGTCATTAACTCTTATTTCAAGTTCCTAACGTTTTGTACTCGAACCTAATTTAGGACGACTTATTGAAATACAAGTCTCCACTGTGAAAACTACTCTACAACAAATTGTGAGTTCAATCCCTGGGCTTGCTAGTACAGAGATATTTGGACTCATTGGAAACAGGATTAGCAATAACTGAATGATTAACAAAGAGGAGATAACTCACGGCATGGACATTAGAATGAGAACAATTCCTGTTGATTGAATAAATATTTCAGTTTAAAATTACTTCAAAGTTACCCTGATTTTCAGTCACCTGATGAAGGTCAGAGGGCACAATGGTTGAAACATTGGGACCATAACAATAAAAATGGGGATTTTAGTCTGACTCTTAGTCATGTAAATAATGGGCAGTTTTGTTAAACTTGAATTATTGTTTTACTATTTGTCTATAATAAAAAAAATGTTATTCTATTAAAAAGTTCTACTGTATTTCATGCATGTGTTACCCTTATATATATATATATATATATATATATATATATATATTGGTAAATAGCAGGACAGACTGGGTTCTATAGCCTTGGATGGCAACTGGTCTAGGAGAAGGACAACTCTGAATTCAAGACCTGCGGAGGGTCGTTTGGGGACCTTGTGGCACTTAGTGCACCAGGTCTCTGAATTCGGACCTTCAAAAAGCGTGCATGGTCCTGCACGAAACCTTCGCCACTATAATCAAATCTCATGTGCTGTTGTTGGGCTGTCGGTTTCCTGGGAACTGATATGCTTGATCCTCATATGTCGAATTCGACGGAGAGTCGACTATATATATATATATATATATATATATATATATATATATATATATATATATATATATTCATGTTTCCAGCCCATGTTTTCAGCCCTTAGTCATAATTTAACATAAAATTGGTTAATGTATTTGTTTATATAACAAGCTATCCCTATTGGTTGAATATTAATAAATCTCTCATACCTCTTTTTAAAATACATAGAATCCGAACCATTCAAATATTGAATACTTTTGATAGTTAAAGAGATGACGCGTTAATAATATATCCATACCTAACTAAATTTCTAGATCTCATAAATAAGCTTAAAAATAAACGAATCTAAAATGGAATTCACAAATCAAAAAGAAACAATACGTTACCTTTTCTTGATGCACGGTTAATTCGAAATAATAGGGGTTTAAAATAATAGGGGTTTAAAATAATAGGGGTTTAAAATAATAGGAGTTTAAAACTAAATGTCAACAAATAAAAATAACCTCATAAAATTTTACTCACATTACAAAAGAACCTGGAATAATCATAGCCTTTCATTTAAGAGCTATTAGAAATTGCAGCCCCGAATAACTGATGAACAAAATACAATGAAAACATTTCGAAGGTTCTCCACTATTCTAGGCATTTCAAATCCAATGACAGAAGAAAAGCGTACAAAATCCGCAATAAAAAAGAAAGAAAAATAAAGCACAAATAACTGCACTAAAAACTAAGCTCATTATATTACCTAAAACTTCTAAAACTAATGAACTTAAGAAATTAAGCTAATTATAAAAATAAGAACAAACACTTCAAAAGTTAAACATTTAATTAATATACAAAACAAAAAAAGAGAGCTGACTATATCGAAGTAGGAGACCATCAAATAGAATGTAAACAGTGCCCCACAAAATACACCGGCGAAACATCCGGAAATTTAAATAGAATATACTAAGATAAAAGGGACTTAAAATTAAACACCGCACATAATACACTTGTATACTTGCAGAAATTTCGTAACCAAAATTTTGACCCGGAAAATGCCACTTTAATAAATAACAATTAATACACTTTACTTTGAAGATGATATGATCTATGAATTCCCTACGGTTAGATATCACCACAGATTCGCGGTACCTAAGGTTTAAACTTAATTTTTCAAAATGAAAAATCTTTTTTGAAGCTTTTATTTTAGTTTTAATATCAAATTAATAAGTTAAATTTAATATTTCCAATAATTAAAATACATTACCGTATTTCAAAACTAATTTAAATTGACTGGAAGGAGTTTTCGTTTTGAAATTATTAAAATTACTGATTTTATCGCCATTTTTAGTCATCTATCATCGTGGTGTAAGTCTCTTTATTAAAAGATCTTTAGAGAATAGAATATGCTTTTCTGAAACTTTATCTGAGAAATATTAGCTGATTTAAAATTTAATTAATTTAATTTTAAACAATTATTTCTTACTTTAGGTTTAAAATATCGCAAAAACGCATTTTTTAACACGGTGCTAATTATTTATTTAAAGTGTTGACATTGTTGACAGCTAGAATGATAGAAGTTTGTCTAATGTTTTTCTACGGTGCATATATCTGTAAAACATAATTGAGGAGTATAACGTAAACGCCCTTTTTATATAATGTTTTAGTACTCATTAATTTTTAAAATACCTGGAAAATATTCTCCGTAATCTAATGTTTTATTGAATTTTAGATACTTTGGCTTTACATTTATTAAAGTTATCGTTGTTATTTTCTGATAATGTCGTGTATGAACATCCGTATCTATAAACATCGGCATAGTTATACATATACAAAAAAAATCAAAATTCTTTTTAAAATATTGGCGTTTGATGAGTTGCATTAAACTTTTAAATTTATGATTAGAAAATACAGTTTTAATTTAACAATATTACCTAAAAGATAAATTAATACAGAATTTTAAAATATTTCAAACTTTATAAATTATTCTAATTAAAATTTAAAAAAAATGAAAACAATTCTTGTAAAAATTCATTATTTATCAAATTTTTTTCTTAGGACAATAGTGTCCATGACGTCTGATACACGCTTATGTATCCTTCGATACATGACTGACGAGGCAGATTTTTCCCGCAGTAGGTTGCCATTTCCTTCTGCAGTAGAGCAGATACCACCCAAGGCTATAAAACCCGGCCTGTCCTTCTATTTACCCATAGCTGCGGGGAGGTGGGGTTAAAAGACGAGGTTTCATACCTTTTTCCAAGGGTTATTAGTATGTAATGGATTCGACTGGAATTCGAACTCAGCTCTGCAATTCGTCAATTCGAGTCGCTATCCATTGCTACACCGTGCGTAATATATCGTACTCATAGAAGCAATTAACAGCTTTTCTAATTTGACAATTTCTTAGTTTTAAATCCATTTTTTTATTTTATGTTTCAGAGCAGATTTTCGGGAAGTGGGGTCCTTGTTTGACAAAAAAAAAAAAAAAAATTATGATTTATATTCTCCCAGGAGTTCTACTTTTAACTAATACAAAAATTAAGTGGCAAAAAATTAATTTCTCGAAATCTCATAAAATTAAATAAATGTTGGTGGTTGTGGTGGGGAAATAACAGCTGTAAAAAAAACATTTTTTACCAAAATTCACTAAAAAAAAAAAAGAAAACATTTCTAAAATAATTTAATTCATTTGTATAAAATTAATAAGTTCTGAAGGTTTAATTAAAATCCGACAATTATTTAATTTTTGTAAGAATTTCCAAATTAATGCGTTTTTCATCGTTAAAAAACAACAACAAAACGCTAAAATTTTCTACACTAATCTTTGGTCACCCACCTTCCTCGCTGATGCAAGACAAACAAGGTTTTTAACCAAAATTTCAAACCTTCTGAAAATGATAAAAAATATAATCTAATAATCAAAATATACTTTGGTCGTTCCTTTTTAATAATAGCATAAAATTTTGAGGATAAAACTTTGTTTTTATTAAGTCTGGGGCATTTTTTCATCCTGGTAGGCTAATGTCTTAGCGAATCAGTGGTGTTACGTATCTAGGATTATTAATATAAGATCGGGCTATCCACTGTTCTTACGAAAATAAAACTGAAAAAAAAATGTAGGTTGCGTAATCCTCGAAGGAAAAAGAAATAAAAATTTAAGTGGACATGAATTAAAATCTA